CCCGCATCAGAGATAATGAGCAAGGGAGGTTAAGTGACTTGTTCAGATTTAAACAATTATTGAGCGATTCTAGTCAGATATCAACCGCAGTTTATCTCCAAAGGCTCTTTAAACTATACTTCATACTATACATTTAAAAAGATTAATCAGAAACTAACACACCATTGTAAAGCAATTATACTCCAATAAAGATGTAAAAAAAAACACTAAAAAAAAGATTAATCATCAATAACTTTCGTCCATAATATCTGAGGAGTACCTCATAATTTAATAAATAACTGGATCTTTCTAGAAAAAAAATGTTCCCGGTGTATCTTCCTAGAGGTCCTTAGGCACCTGTGGAAATTACCATTATGCTTCACAGTTAATATTTAAATCACTCTATGTATTTACAAGGACCATAGAGAAAAATGCATTATTTTGAAGGCCAGAAATTCAGTTTGAGATCATACTGTCAACTGAGAGGAACAGACTGTAGTAAGGGTAATAATTTGGGCATAAGAGGTTTATGTGATAATCCTGAAAACTAAACTACCTACTTTTTATTTAAAATGTGAAATTAACCTATGTCCAAAACTACGGTGAATTTTGTAAATTCTTTTACTCCTTTCAAAATCACCTGTTGTACAAAAAGGGAGTAATCTTTTACTTTACAAAAATCTTTAATATTAAGTCCTTCTATCAATTATTTGGTATAGAACAATAAAGTATTGTTTGGAAAAGTCATACAGTTCAGAAGTCTCAATAATGGCAATTCAGAATCTTATAGTTTCCTTAACAGTTTAAGAATAAAAAGGAGACAAAGGAATTTAACACAGATTTATTAGTTACACAGATTATTTTTGAGTGTACAACATCAACATACTAAATGTCGTTGTATGCGTCATTAAAATCTGATAATTTACTGTAGTTTTGACTGGATTCTCATGGTTTGATATAGAATTTCTACTAACATCAAACATATGTTCAGAAACTGCAGAGTATCAAACAACTTCGAAGGAAGAAACCACTGTTCCATAAATCTTTAAGTGACCCTAGTGATGAAGACAGGGATGCCGGATCGATATGAAAACTCTAAATGAGAGGAAAAATATCCTCAGTTCCTATTACATATTCATCAGTTTCACCTGACTGCTTCATCCACCCAACTAAAATTTACTATATAAAAGCTGGCCGACACTTTTTGGACTTTTTGCTGGAAAGGGAAGGGACGGTTGTGAATGTCGGCGTAGAGGGTGGCTTTAGTGCTTGCATTTATGGCCTTATGCCGGCTTATGTTTACATATTTTCCATGTGGGGATTCTGACCCCCCAGGAAGCCGGCTGTGTCCCTGGAGATTGCTTTCGTCCAGAGCTCCCTCAAGTTGAACTGCTCCCGCTCCGTGCCATCCACCCACAGTCACAGGCTGAGTAAATCCCAACTCTTCATACTGATGCCAGCTGTATTGTCCTGGTCTCCTACCCTCTGAGTCCCAAAGATCTAATAGCAACAATTAGATGCTGAACAACAAATTATATGAGAAGGGAAACTAAGAAAAACAGAAAAGTAGAAAACTTACAAATGAGCGCTTGAAGTAAGCCCAAGTACCAGTGATTGCAGCCTAAAACTCCATGAGGACTGAGGCTGTGACTGCCTTTTATCGCTGTATCCTCAGGAGTACGTAGAACACATGTAATAAACATTTGCTGAAAGAATAAACTGCAACAAAATAATAGTCCCTTTTTTTACTACTTGTTTAAAACATCTTTTCTGTTTATAGGAATGGACTTAGAAAAAAGTTGAGGGCTCTTATCAGAAGAGGCCCGTTCTAACCAGTCAGTCTGCACACATCCACAGGCTGTGTGGAACCAATTTTGTGGCTGTTATTCCTTTGCCAGAGGGATTCCCACTAAAAGATATGCTCATGGCATAAAATGGGAAAAACAAATTACAAAACATTAATCTGCATAAAGTTTTGTTTTTTCATAATATACTTTCCCCATTTGTTTGCTATTTTAAAAAAGAAAACCTTGAGGCTTTAGATTCCCATTTTAGTGACAGTGAAAGTGAGCGGTGGTTGTGTTGTGTCCAAGATGACACTCTGGCAGTTGGATCAAGGACTCAAATCCAATTAATCTAGCCCTAAACTCTGTAATTAATATTTAAAATGATCAGGTTTTACAAATACAAAATATATCAAACCTATGAATCTCAGGTTCTTCACCTTCAATATGAAAGAATTAGTTTACAATCTTCTATCAAGTCTGTTTAAATTTTTAAACTATGTTTCTATAATTACAAATAACTTACAATTAATAAAAGGAAAAAAAAAAACACTGTGGAAGATGAAGTCTCAACTGTCCTTTTTGCTTTGCATAGAGAATTATTTACATCCCAGACAACCAAAAGATAAATGGTAAAAATAACAAACCGTTACATGTTTTCAATTAATTTATTTTAGAAAAATGAAGATTTACAATTGGTGCCTTAAGGCAGGATATCATGAATTCAACGCGTTAGTAACACAAACTTTCAAAACCCTTTATAGATTAGTCCAAAGTAGAAAATTAGTTTTTGCCCACTCTTGGACTCAGACACATTCAGAAAAAATATATATTTATAAAAATAAAATGGCAAACCTAATCCCACCAATTAACTGATAGTCTTAACATCCTACACTTGTTTATTTGAACACTCTCTATATAAAAAGAATAGCTGAGTGATTTTTCCCTGTCCTACTTTCATATCATGTGAAGCAAAGATGAAAATATTTAAATTACTTTTTGCAAAATCAAAACCCAAAAGCCCCTGAAACAAAACACAAGAAATATCAACAAGAACAAATATCCACTGAATAAAAACAATATAGCTAATTGTTTTACTATTTACTATTCATATAGACCCGTCCTTCAGCCGCTAGACATTTGGCTCTTCACGTTATTTCTAACTCAGATACCAGGAAGCACTATGTATAAAGAAGCAAGTGGAAATTCCAGGTCTAATCCACCTAAGTTTCAGATATAGAGAAATATTAACGTATACAATGAAACAAAAAGGACTGCAAGCTATAACGAGGTGCGGTGCTCCATAAAAACACGCACTTTCTCTCTTTGAAATATCTTTAAAAACTGTCTGAGCACCAGATTCAGCAACAGCAAGCATCTAGGATCTGGAATATCAGAAGTCAGAAACAGAACTTTATTGCAACTGAAAGACAAGGCAAAACTCCAACTTAATGAAGGGTATTCCCCCTATTGATATGTAATCACAGTGAGATTCATCACTGAATTAGGATGATATCTGTGTTCTTCTACAAGATTCATTAAGAAACCTACCTTTATTTTGAAGTAATTTTTCCTAAAACGAAAACAGCATTTCTAGTAAACGCTGATATCACATTGAGGGGAAAACCATACTAGTGAGCAAAAACTTTCAACTTGTTTTGTGAAGACATTGTGACAATATCCTAAAGTAGAGACAAGTAAAAAGCAAAATTTTAATTAAAAAAATTATTCACTTACAAACCATCTACACTTTTTGTTTCCCAAATAGACACATTTTGAAAACACAAATAAGAATATGGGGCAACAGTATAGCATTGTGAAAAAAGATAACAGAGAACTAAGGCATTAATTTATAGACAAGAAAATCTCGAAATACAAAGAACACTGGACTTGGTTGATACATGTTAAGCTTTGCTCCTTTTTTTTTTTCTTTTCCCTGTTTTGGTCTTTAACTTACAGGTGTGCTTGACAAAAGACAAAACCGTGCAGATAAAAGACATCTGTTAGTGATAAACACGAAGAAAAAAGCCATGACACTTTTACAGCTTCCTCCTGTCACTGGTAGTGGCTAAGCTGTAACTTCCCTACCAGGCTGAGACTAATGTGAGGCATCTGTATTTAGCTACGCTTTTCACAGCCGCCAAATAAGCTTGACTGCTGCCGACATTAATATCTATTTTCCAAAAGACTCTCTCATTACTCTTTAGAGAGAAATTTCCTTGTTAAATTAACAGCGTTTATCTCCAGTTTCCATTTAAGGATAACATTTCATTCTAGTATTTCGTGAAATTTCCTGGGACTGCATACATGCTTCATTTGTAAAAATGATAATAATGGGGCGCCAAACATCAAAAACAAATAATGACTATATACTAAAAGGTACGAGAGAGCAATTCCTAGTAACTCCTTCGGACAAAGGCACAAGAGCCTCAGGTTAGTATGGCATCAGAAATAGCCCCAGGCTGCCCTGGGGACCACAGCCCTAAACAGCTTCACTATCAGGACCATGAATTACACAGTTTTAAAGTGATGAAGCATTTTAAAATGTTTCATAACTCAATGAATAACCACCCAGATTACAGTCACTTAATAAAAGTCCTAAACTTAGCTAAAATGAAGGTCTCAAACATAAACTAATCTACCATAAACATACTACACTGTTATTTAAAAGATACCAGTTTTTGTACATAACTTGGGATAGAATTCCTATGTTATTCCGTTATGGAGAGAAGATGAGAGGTCATTAGCTGAAATGGATCAACGGGGAGGACGGAGAAGGTAACTGGCAGATGTCTTTAATCACTGGACATGAAGTTTCTTAACAGGCTGATTATGCCACTCATTACTCATTATGAACACAGACACGCCCATAATATTACATAACAGATGTATGTCAATAAATTTCATGTGTATATGTATGTGTGTATGTGTATATATAGATATACATACACACACACTAGATTATAAATTACTACAAAGTTACCATACCATAAAATAAAAACATGATATATATTACTTTTTAAAAAGCAGCAGGAGCTTTTTACCAAAGAAAAAATTTTAGACGAAATCCCAATATATAAAACAAATAAAAGTATGCTGTTCTGGCTAAAGCAGTGTAGGGGTGACAGAGACCCCCCCCCCCCCCCCCCCCCCCCACGTTGGGGGGGGGACCTCGCCCGTTGCCC